TATACCATGTGATTATCACGTGTGTGTGTATGTGTGTGTGTGTGTGTGTGTGTGTGTGTGTGTGTGTGTGTGTGTGTGCAGGCACAAGCCACAGGCCTGCCTGAGAGCTCACAGCTTCACAGCTTACATTAGCTAGACTCCAGCTTCCTCAACCCCTGTAGAACAGACCTCTCCAGGCCTTCTGCTAAAATATCCCAGCACGAGTGGTCATGTGACCCAGGGAGAGCCAATCATAGTGTCCCATCCCCTTCCAGCAACAGTGCTTGGGCATATAGATGGGCATGTGACTCACTCAGAGCCAATCAGCTTTCTTCCCTGGGAACACTGTTCCTGGGAACACTCTCCTGCCCCCCCCCCCGCCCCCGCCCCCGGAGCAAGCCTGAGTCGGAGAGCAGCCTAGGTAAGTAGAGAAGAGAAGAGAGAAAAGCCATGTGTTCCTGGAGTCCCTCCCCCCATACACACACTCTTGGGGGGATAATGGGAAGGGTTGCAGCCCCTTTCTTTGCTGGGCTTGGGCAAGTTGGATTTGCACCCTGAATGATGACGGCAGCGGGGAGGAAGTGGCCAAGGGCCTCTCCTTCTGGAGGTAGCAGACCTACTAGTGATCCAAGGGGGTAAAATCCATGCAACACCCACAGTACTCACCTGCCTGCCTGATGCCCCCTCCCTGTCCCTCCCTGTCCCTCCCTCTCTCTCTCCCTGTGTGTGTTTGCATGTGGAAATCAGAGGACAACTTCCAGGAGTCTGTTCTCCCCTACTACCGGGTAGACTCTACAAACTGTCTATCAGACTCAAAGGCAATGGCTCCTATACCCACTGAGCCATCTTGCTGGCTCCTTTTTGTTTATTTGTTTTGCCGGCACCGGGAATTGAACCTAGGGCCACATGCAAGCCAGCCAAGCACTCTGTAGCTGAGCTACAGCATCAGGCACAGTAAGCACTTTACTGAGAGCTTTCTCCTTAGCCCTTGACCATCTTTCCTATGTCAGGCCCCGCAAAAGTCCTTGAACTAGATGCATCCAGCAAGCACTACATAATTGCTGAGAGACAAGCTGCTATTCCCTCCCGGCCCAATAGCATCGTCCCTTTGACACCTCACTCTCAAGTGTGTAGTGATATATATTGTGTACCCTAATAAACTTGCCTGAGAATCAGAAGTCAGAGCCAGCCACTAGATTAGACATAGAGGCCAAACAGTGGTGGCACACACCCTTAATCCTGTCACTCGTGGGGCTGCGGGGGGCGGTAGGGGGCAGAGATCCATCTGGATCTCTGTGAGTTCAAAGCCACACTGGAAACAGAGCCAGGCAGTGGTGACACACACCTTTAATCCCAGTACTGGGAAGCACACATGCCTTTAATCCCAGGAAGTGACGGCAGGGTTGAGAAGGTACATAAGGCATGAGGAAACAGGAACTAAAGCAGTTCAGCTGAGACCCTTTTGGATGAGGACTCAGAGGTTTTCAGTCTGAGGATTTATGGAAACAGGATCGGCTGAGGAGTTGGCGAGGTGAGGTTGGCTGTGGCTTGTTCTGCTTCTCTGATCTTTCAGCTCCCACCCTGATATCTGGCTCTGGGTTTTTTAATTAAAAGACCATCTAAGATTCAAACAACATAAATGGATGGAAAGACAGGCTCATGATTTGGGATGAGTTAATTTTTTCCCTTTCTTTCCAAACAGCTCTAAGCAATGCCCCACCCCTGGTTCTGTAAACCTGAAAGAGGGGAAATATATATATATACTTGATGCAACCCGAAAACTCTGCTCGTTGAGGGCGTTGATGAGGGAGTTGGAGGAAGTGATTCTCTTTGAACACGATACTTCAGTCATGAAGCTGTCCCCTGAGTGTCAGCCCTGATCACCATCTTGCCAGGCCTCTGTCCTAGCATGAGGAACAGAGTTCATACCTTCCGGGCCTGGCATGAAAGCGAGCCCACCCCACCCATCCTCCGGGGCTCCCGTGGGGTGTCCCTGAAAAATGCATGGGACATAACAGCGTGGCCGCAGTCTGACCTTCAGGCCCCACTCAGTGAAGTTTCACAGCCAAAGGAGACTCAGGCCTCTGAGAGATGGCCAGTCCTCGCTGAAATACCCGGGGTATTAACAAAAGGGAAGTCACACCTCAGCTCTCTCAAGTCTCCTTTCAACACATTTGCCTGGAAGTCTCTGCTCCTCACATCTGCCTCCAAGTTTCTCCTCCTCTCTCTTCCAAATCTAGGGTTTTCTTTTCCCTCCTTCTAACAGCAGTGAGTTTTTTTAATGCAAGTAAATTTAGCTTTTTTATTATTCATAATCTGTGTAGGGGGGGCGGGGTATGGGTGCATGTGGGTGCCGTGGCGCACACATGGAAGTCCGAGGTCACCTTTGGGGAACTGTTTCTTTTCTTCCGCCCTGTTGAAGTTCCTCTCATCTCTGCCATGCCTTGTACTCCAGGTGAGCTGGCCTGAGAACTTCGAGGCCATCCTCTCGAGGCCCCTCTCCCAGAAGGAGTTCGGAGGGAGAGTACAGATGCTGCAAGCAGTGAGCTTGGGGCTTCTTGGTGTGGTTTCTGGGGATCAAACGCAGGTCCTCAGCTTGTACAGCAAGCACTGTTACCCACTGAGGCATCTTGTTGGCCCAGCTTAGTCCTTTTACATCTGTGTCCATTTTCCGACCTGTTTCCCCTCATCTGCCCACAAAGCTCCAGGGGAAAAAAAAACACACAATGACGAGGTTGGGGGAGGGGGCAGGGTGTACTCAGAAAGTGACCAACCTCCCTCTTCAGAGACTCCATGGAGAAACATGCAGAGAGGTCTAAACATGCGTTTGGGGGTACACGGGTGAGAGCTGAAAATTAGTCATTTCCCACTCCTACGCAGGGAGCAGGGGACAGGTGGGACACATGCTCATGTGCACCTGCCTTGTGAGAGGGTGCCATTGGTGGTCCAAGGACCCATACATGTGCTGTGACTCAGCTCGCGGACAGTTAAGGCATCTTGTCCTTCAGAAGTGGCATTCTATCCTGGGCTTGACTGACTCATGTTGATGGTGACTCAGTTTTCTCAGTAACTGATTAAATAAATAAACAATCAAAATCAGGATACAGAATGAGAGAATGAATACCACCTACCAGTCATCTCTCATTGACATTTCTAGAACATTCTACCCAACACTATCAGAACATACATTCTTTTTTACAGCATCAGAAACAGTCACCACGTCCTGGATCATGCCAAATCTTAACAAATTTAAAGGGACTAAAATGTTCAGTCTATCTTTTCTGGCTACAATGTCATCAAGCTAAAAGTCAGTAAGGAAAATAAACACACTGTATCGAATGTCCAGGAATGCCCAAGAAGCAGCTTTCACAGGATAACTTACAGCTTTAAATGCTCACATAAAAAGAGCTGGACATGGAGAGATGGCTCATTGGTTAGAGTCCTTGCTGCTCTTGCAGAGGAAGGAAGTTCAGTTCCCAGTATCCACACAGCCACTCACAACTGCCTGACACTCCAGCGCCCTCTTCTGACCTCCACAAGCACTGCTTTCATATGCCCATATCTACACAGAGATCGGTACACTCAATTAAGGATAAAAATAAAGAAGGTCTCAAATCAACAAACTAAGCTGTTACTTTACTAATACGTGGGGAGCAAGATGGGTCAGTGGGCCAGGGCATTTGTTGCCGAGCCTGGTCATCCGAGGCCAGTCCCTGGAAGCCACATGGTAGAAGAGCCAACCACAGCCGGGAGTGGTGGCGCACACCTTTAATCCCAGCACTCGGGAGGCAGAGGCAGAGGCAGGCGGATCTCTGTGAGTTCAAGACCAGCCTGGTAAACAGCGAGTTCCAGGACAGCCAGGGCTACACAGAGAAACCCTGTCTTGAAAAAACAAAAGTAATTAAATAATAATAAGAAGAAGAGGAGGAGGAAAAGGAGGAGGAAGAAGAGGAAGAACTAACAATCCCAGAGTGCAAAGGAGGTACCAGCTGGACGGGGCAGGGCTCAGACGGAGCTGGAGGTCTCTTGGTTAGTGCTACCTGTTGAAGCTGCTCTGGCTGGTGCATGGAGAGCCGTGTCACACATTATTTCATTTCATTGCAGGCAGAGCATTGGCTTCTCATCCTTCTCCATCCCTACGCCTTCCTCACCCTGTACCTCCACGCCGGCCCTGAACCAAGCGTGGTGCTGGAACTCTCGGGCTGTATATGGCATCCAGCCACTGTTCCCCTTCCCTCAGGAAAAGGAAGTAAAGGTAAAAGCAAGGTCAAGTCTATCTTTTTCGTTTTCCATTTTCATATGTGTGTGTTTGCATATAGAGTGGGTATGCATGCACATGAGTGTGCTACATGTGGCAGCTGGAGGTTTATTGGGTCTCTATAACTCTTTTTACCTTATTCACTGAGGCAGGGATGCTCAGTCAAGCGCAGAACTAACAGATACATTTAGTCTCACTTGCCAGCCTGCTCTGGGAATCCTGTCTCCACCTTCCAGAGCTGGAATTACAGGTGGCCAGCATCTACATCCTGAGGATCTGAACTCAGGCCTTCACAGTTGTACATCAAGTGCCTTGACCACTGAGCAACCTCCCTAGCCTGACCGGGTCAATTCTAAACACACACACACACACACACACACACACACACACACACGATGCACTTAAGCTTTACCTTGGAGGACAAGGACCCCAAATGACCCAGACCATGGCAAACAGGAGATGACTGCTCTCTTTTTCTTTGGCATGCTTTGAATGCAGCTTGCCATGCAGGCGCCGTGGCATCTGAGCATGGCAGTGGAAACATGGCTGTCTCCAGATAGTGTCCTCCTCTCCAGAACTATGTACTTGGACCTGGGTCATCAGTGAAGCCTCACCAGCTGAAGAACCAAAGTTGGGCCAAATCCAGGGACAGTGGTGGCCTTGGGTGGAGAGAATCTGGCAGTGGCAACCATGGTAATTTTGATGGTCAGTCTGCTAGGATTTTGTATCATCATGGACATGAATCTCTGGGCATGTCTGTGAGGGATTTTCGAGACTAGATTAACTGAAGGGGTTATGTGGCACCATCCCATGGGCTGGTGCGCTGGCTAGTCAACATGACACCCGCCAGAGTCATCAGAGAGGAGGGAGCCTCAGTCCGGAAAATGCCTCCATAAGATCCAGCTGTAAAGCATTTTATTAGTGATCAATGCAGGAGGGCCCAGCCCATTGTGGATGGAGCCATCCCTGGGCTGCTGGTCCTGGATGATAAGAAAGCAGGCTGAGCAAGTCATGAGGAGCAAGCCAGTAAGCAGCACCTCTCCATGGTCTCTGCATCAGCTCCTGCCTCCAGGTTCCTGCCCTGTTTTGAGTTCTTGTCCTGACTTCCTTTGATGATGGGCTATGATGTGGAAATGTAAGCCCAATAAACCCTTTCCTACCCAGGTTTCTTTGGTCACAGTGTTTCATCACAGCAATAGAAACCCCGACTAAGACTGTTGGGGTCCAAATAATGGGAAATCGAGTTGAGCACTGGCATTCATGACTTCTTCCTGGTTGTGGACACAGTCCAAGCAGCACCTCTCCGCGGTGGACTGCACTCAGAGTGTGCACTGACACAAGTCTTCCTTTTCTCAGTTTGTTTTTCTCAGGCCATTTGTCACAGGAATGGGAAAGTGACCAGTAAGCCAGTGTGCCCACCACGCCACCTACGTCACTTTGCTGAGGCCAGTGGACAACCGCTTAAGGCACGCGCTTCTGCTACCCATGTCCCAAGTGAAGACACCGAGGCTCCGTTTGGCTCCCATTTGCTATTGCCCCACAGCTCACAGCTGTCCAGGGTGGAACCAGGACTGGCCCCTAGAGAAGGAGTCTTAGCAGAGGAAGCCTTGGAAGAGAAGCTCTGTCAGAACCTGATTTGTAGACAAAAGGAACAAGCGTGGCCTTCAAGTGCCTCGATGCACACCAGGGACCAGCGGAGAGCAGCTTCCCAGGCCCCACCCTGGCCCTGGACTTCTGACTCCCGGGGCTGCCTGATGGTCCGGCAGATTCCCTCCTGTGGGAGAGACCCGTGCCCTGCTGCAGTGTGGAGCTGGTCAGGGGCAGGGGGGCCGTAGGGGTCTCAAAATGGACTGGTTTCAGCAGAGAAATGGCTCAGATAATAATAATGCTGCTGTCCAAGTGTGAGGACTGAGCTTTGCATCCCGGAAGCCACGTGAATGCTGAGTGGGCCCGACAAGCTGTCTGTAGTTCCAGTGCTTGGAAGGTAGAAACGGGTTCTTCAGAGTAAGCTGCTGGCCTAGCCATGTCAGTGAGCTCGGGGTTCAACTGTGAGACCCTGCCTCAAAGAAGAGGGTGGAGGAGGGTGATTGAGGAAGATTCTTGATATCAACCTCAGGCCTCTGCATGCACTCACACACATAGGAACACACAGATACCACATGTACACACACATAAAAAGATGGCCTAGCCAGTAAAAGCACCTGCCACCAAGCCTAACAACCCAAGTTCCATCCTCAGACCCACACGGTAGAAAGAGAGAACCAACTAGTACAAGCTGTCCTCTGGCCTCCGTGTGGATGATACAGCACAGCCCTTCCCAAATAAACACATGCATAAAAAGCTTCTGCGGGGTCAGGGAGTCGGTTCATTGATGTCTCCGTCTCTGGAATGATCCATGGCATGGTGCCACCTGGTGTGCAAGGTCCCAGGAGTCACACATCAGCTCTCTGCATGAAGACAGCCATGTTTCCTTACCCGGGGACTCGGCCCCACAGTCTGGTGGAAAATTCCAGATCCTGGGAAGTGCCAGCTCCAGGAGACCCCAGAGAGAGGACATCATGCCAAAGGTGATGAATCACAGAGGCAGAGGGACTAGCGGCCAGCAAGCCTGGCCACACATCCCAGCTCTAGTGTCCATGAGCTGTGTGACCCCAGGAGAACCACTGAACCTCTCTGGGATTGGCTGAGGATAGTGACAGTGGCCAGAGAATACAGGTGCACTGCATGAGAAGGGACAAGCAGCTGCTGTGAGCGCAGAAGGTGACCGTAGCCGTGGCCACCACAGACCCTGCCCAAGAGCTCCATTTCCTTCTATTGGGTGGACTGTGCTAAGTGAGCTCCAGGCCCAGTTCTGTTGGCAGCTCAGGTGTATCCAGAAGGGACCCTGAGATCATGCCTTCATCCCCATTCCTGCACCCTGGGGCCTCGCACCCAGACACTCCTACTCCTGCCCAGCCCCTCCCTCACAGTGCCCCGAAGCCTTTCTGCCTGGGATGGGGCTCTGAACCTTGGGTACCCTGAGAATCCTGTGCCTCAATGCCCAGTGTTGAAATCAGGACACTCCTTCCTCAACATTGCCCCCGCCCCAGCACCCTGCACCTACCCCCACAGTCCTACCTCTGGTCTCCCACCAGACTCCCACAGGATCCTTCCAGAGCCCTCATCTACTGCCCAGGTCCAGCACACCTGCAGAGACCAAGAGCGAAGGCAGCTTGCCTGGAGCCTGGAAGCCTCTTGCTCGGGTAGACAGCCCCTTCCCTCACTGTGGGCAGAAGCAGCCTATAAAACGTGAGTGTAGTAGTAGTCCCAGCCTCTAGAGGGCGTTTCTGCACAATTAAACACCTATGGCAGAGCCCCTGGTGTACAGCAAAGGTCCCGTTCAGCTGTTAGTACGAAAAGGTTATGGGCATTCCCCTGTTAATTGTTAAAATGGGGAATTACGGAGAGAAGGCATCGTGCCAGACTTCCTGAGACGCACAGAGAGGAGGAACTCAGTGCCGTGGGCTGAGTGCAAGTACCCAGAAGTGACCTCTGGTCCCTCGGCTTTCCTCACTTCTCCCATTGGAATCTGCCTCTGCACACTTGCACCTGCTGTTCCCAGCCTCCCCTTCCCTCCCCCGCCTGCATCCTGAAATCCTTCAAGGGTAGCTGTGTCCTTTCTCCTCCAAGAATCCCTACTGGAGGCTCCCCGTGACAGCTCAAACCTGCCCTGCGTGGGTCGTCCGTTTCTCCTGTTTGTGCTGCAGTTTCTAGCCTTTCTGCATAGATGCTTGGCTTCTCGAAGCAAGCCTCGTGGGTATCAAAGGCCGTGGTAGAGCCTGACATCGCAGCTGTCCACACTTGTACACCAGGCTCAGGCTCTTACCTGTGGGGACTGCTAAAGGACTGGTTGGTTAGCTTTTGGTTTCTGCCTGGAAGGCACAGGGACGGAGACCATGCTGCATTCATGGATTAATACACAGGCTCTGGTGGCCTGCGATCGTTCTTGCACTGACCCCAAGGTGGCGCTCCCTCCCCATCCTCACAGTGCCCAGGTCCTGGCTCTGCCTTCCAACATGGCAGTTGACTGGTCTTCCTTTGACATGAGCTTGTGAATGAAATCTGTAGCAGCCTCAGTGAGCCTTTGACAACATCCGGGATTCCAGTGGCTAACCCAGGACAAGCCCTCTGTGGTGGTGTGAATAGGAATGGTCCCCATAATGTTAGTGATTAGGGAGTGGCACTACTTGACAGGGATTAGGAGGTGTGGCCTTGTTGGAGGAGGTGTGTTGGTGGCCATGGGCTTTGGGATTTCAGATGTAGAACTCTCCGCTCCCTCTCCAGCACCATGTCTGCCTGCACGCCACCATACTTCCCGCCATGAACTGTAAGCTAATCCCAACTAAATGCTTTCCTTTGTAACAGCTGCCTTGGTCGTGGTGTCTCTTCACAGCACTAGAACACTGACTGAGGCACCCTCCATCCTATGATTATGAAGTCATCACTACTGCTCACTCTTCCCGATTCTCCGTGTGTGTGTGTGTGTGTGTGTGTGTGTGTGTGTGTGTGTGTGTGTGTGTGTGTCGGGGGGGGGGGGCGGTACTCATGCCTCATCACATGGTATTTGACCCCTGAGATTACAGAAGTGGGTAGCCTGGAGTCTCGCCTGGGTAAAGGACACAATTTCTGAGGCAGGACATGAAAGAGACATGAGCCCTGGTCCCTGATCCAAGTGTCCCTGACAAAGGTCCTTCCTGGGCTGCCTAGGAAGCCACCTCCCTGTGCTTGCCTTGTGGACTTCAAGTTGATGTCCCACCTGTCCAGTCCAGAGCCACCAGCTCCCAAGTCTCTCAGCAAAACAATGATGTCCTCCGCAAGAGGGTACCCTGGGGAAGGAGGAGGGAGAAGGATAAAGAGAGGCTGGGAAGGCAGGAGACAGAGCAGTGACCCGAAACATCACACCACGCTTGTGCAGAGTTTTTATTTAATCGCTTTGGCAACCGAGAATTTAGATGCAAATACTTGCTGGAGGAATTGGGTCATTTAAATCCACCCAGAGGCTCACACAGCGTATTAGAGACGCTCTAAATGGGGGTGGTGACGCAGGGAGAGACCCTGGATGGTGTAATCAAGACAGACGTGGATCTCTCTTCCTAGTCAGACCCAGTCCTGGGCTGGCGTGGCGACAGGGTTGGGGGTGCCATTCTAGAAAGGCTTGTTTTTGGAGTCCGTGGTCCAGCCCCCGTGACAGGGCCGAGGTTTGTTTCTTTGCTCTCACTCCATTGGTTAGAACTGCACCACGAGGCCGCCCTTGCCCAAGGGAGGCTGGGAAATGCAGTCCTTTGCTCCGCACTGCCCCGTGAAAAGGAAATGCAGGGGCAGACTCTGCTTTAGGAGAGCTCACTTTCCCAAGCTCAGGGGCTGTTGACGCCGTTCCACGCCCACCGCCATGGCCAGAGACCCAGAGGATAAGAGTTTCTGAGCCTGTGCTGTGCTTTCTGGACAGAAAGTCAAGAGGACAAGGTGGATGGATGTCAGGCGCGGCGGGAGAGGGCTGGCAGGCTGGGTCTGCCCAACCCAGGGAGATGGCAGACAGGCAGCGAACACAGCAGGAGTCCTCCTGTTATAAGAGAATGAAAGTTCAGCTTTCTTTAATGGGCAGATGGTCCCACCTACCCCCGCCACCCCCACCCCCACCCCGCTCCACTCTGCCCCTTCCTATCCATGCCAGCTGGTGCCCTGAGTATTTCAGGGCACAGCTTTTTAATTTTATTTATTTATGTATTTATTCATTTATTCGTTCATTCATTTGCCCACGTGTATTCCTGAGGTTGTCAGACCCCTGGGATGGGAGTCACAGTTGGCTGTGGGTGCTGGGAATCAAACCTGGGTCCTCTGGAAGAGCAGCCAGTGCTGATAACCCCTGAGCCATCTCTCCAGCCCGCAGGGCACAGCTTCTATTATGATGTATGAGATGTCCCTACAGGCTGGTACATTAAACACTGGCATTGGTCCCTGCCTGGTGGTGCTGTTTTGGCATTTTGTAGAACTTCTGACACATGGTGGCTTAGCTGGCCCAAGCGGGCCCCTAAGCGTGGGTCTTGAGGATTGTAGTCACCTCTGGTTTGGCCTGAGTTCTTCTCCACTCCCTGGTGATGGAGGTGTGAGGGGGCTCTGCCTCATGCTTCCACCGCCATGCCCTGCCTGCCATGGTAGTCTAAAATCCCTCGGAAATCGTGTGTGTAAATACGCCTTGCTCCACTATGCTGTCAGGGTATGTGGTCACAGCACAGAGACGTGAGTTTGGGGCGGGAAAGGGCAATGTGGAAGGCTCCCTGGGCGACCTGAGAGCCCTCACTCTCCTGCGAGCGGGGAGAAATCTTAGGTGAAGCTCTCACTCACAGTAAGTCACCCAGGATGGGATGAGCCAGGGTGTGTCCACTAAGGTCAAGGCCTGCCCAGAGCAGAGTGACCCATCCAGTGCCCTCAGCCCAGGGACCCTGAGCTATGGTCCCCTCAAGGCTGCCTGGACAACATTCAAGCTTATTCTGCCAGCAGGCAGCCCCACAGCAAACGTGCCCACGCCGGACAGACTGCCGGCTTCCCTTGGCAGCCTTTCAGAGCCAGACCCTCATATCTGCAGAGGAACCATGATGCATAATTATTCTGTGTATGTATGTGTGGTGTGTGCATATGAACATGAAGTGTACACACCCATGGCCACACATGCAGAGGCCAGAGGAGGACATCGGGTGTCTTTGTCGCTCTCTGCTTTATCGCTGTGAGACAAGTTCTAACGCTGGCTGTGTTAGCTAGGCTGGCTGGCCAGCAAGCTCCCAGAATTCATCTGTCTCTGTCCCCCAACACTGGGGTTACAGGCCTGCCCAGCTCTGCCCAGCTCTTTACACAGGTGCCAGGGATTCTAACCCTGGTCGTCGTCCTTGCCAGCTGAGGCATCTCCCCAGCCCCGTTTATTTTTGATGCCTTCGTGGAAGCAATGCTGTGTGGACATGTAAATACCCTTCAGCCTCCACCCAGGGACAGTTCCTGAGGACTGAGACCCACAAACTAGCTCTGGAGAGTACAGGCCATCAGTCTCCTAAATCCTACCCCACAGACTTTGCCCATTAGCACAAGAAAGGGGTGGGATGACTGTAAAAACTCCACCCCACCACCACCCCCTCCACCCCACCCCGCCCCCACCCCCACCACCGCTGCCAAGGGTCTCTGAGAAAGGCAGGTCTGGGCCAAGTCCCGAGAAGACCACATTCCTAGTGAGCTGCCAGATGATGCTGACGTGGCTGGGGAGCACAATGAGAAGCTCTGGCCAGGTGATATCCCATAGGGTGTCCTGCAGCTTCCTCTGTCCCAGAGAGCTTTCACTTTGCATCGTGGGATGCCAGCTGCTGAAGACCCAGCAGGTTGCCGACTATGAGGAGAGGTTGCACCTGGAGGGGAGGTGGGCGGAGAATAGCCCTGTTGGGGTGGAGATGCTGCCCTACTTCCCCACAGAGGTTCTGACATCTGATGGTGAGACCCACAGGCCGCAGCTGGGTGTTTTCACACAGTCATGGCCCCTAGGCAGCCCCGATAAATGGGACACACAGGAGGGGATGCTGCAGGGTGAACAGCTCTGGCCAGCTCACCTGCTGCTTCCTGGTCACCACAGCGCCATGCTTGCCTTGCATGGGTTTTCCCTTAGGGACCCTGGGCAGACCACACCCAAAGCGAGAGCCAGGCTGTCCTGGGAGAAAGATCTAAAGCAGACGGAAACATGGAAAAGACGAAGAAGCACCAGGCCCACACAGGGAGGCAGGGAGGTCCAGGAAGCGCGTTTAATTGGCCAGACACGGATGACACACAGCGGGAGCAGGGGGGAGGCCTGGACATGCGACAAAGCCCATCACCCTGCACCACCAGACGAGGGGCTCCCTTTCTCCCCCAAGACACAGACAGGACGGCACCCCAAAAAAGACTCCGAGGGTGCTGGGGACGCAAGCAGGGAAGGATGCGAACACCACAACCAGAACATCACCTTTCTTGGGCTTTAAGTTACCCGACGTCCTTCAGGAGCTACCGGACTCGCTCGGGCCTGTCCCCCTGCACGGGCCTCTGGCCGCTTCACTCAGAGTCCTCATGACACCCTGCAAGGTGGCTGACCTCCTTCTGAGGCATGGAGAAACAGACCCCAGAGGAATTCAGAGACTGAGTTTGTCCGGGAATGAAGTGGCGAAAGGTGCTAGGTGTGGCCCCCACCCTGGGAAGCAGACAAAACCTGAACCTAGAGCCAAGACAGAAGATGGAACCAACTGTTTATTCAACAAAAGCCTTTTATTCATTCAAAAATTAACCATCGGGTTTGTTTTGCAGATATTTAAAAAAAAAATTAAAGTTGGGAGGGCAAAGCTTCCCACTGTGCCCTTATGCCAACTACCTTGCCAGCCCCAGATGACCTAGCAGAGGGGCAGGTGGGAGACATGCTGCCAGATATGTGCGGCTGGGGGGTCCATGGCCTCTTCAACCACAGCCTCCTTGGCCTTCCCACCTCTAGCCTCCAACTTCACCCCTTACTGGACCACTGCAGCCCCGCGGTGCCACCACCAGGGGGCGCCCCTGTGATCCTTGGATCATGTAAATTCAGAAATAGACTGGGAGGAATCCCAGTGGCTTTCTGCTAGGCCAGTAGTGGGGACTTTCTCTGGAGAGATGCCAGGGATCCCCAGGCACCCTACACTCCACCATCCCCTAGAAGAGACACTGTCCCCCAAAGCCCAAACGCACCTTCTTAGGAAATCAACTGTCAGACTGCAGTGCATTTAAAGAAAGAGACACCAATGCCGCATACATTTGCCTTGTTATTTTAAACCTGGCTGGATACCGCAAAGTCGTGACGCTCTCCTAAGTCCCAGTCAACACAAAGTAGGAGCAACTGCTTGGAAGAAGAGGGGGAGGGGGCACAGCATCCCTGGCCCTAGCAGGGAGGGTCTGCAGAGGGACTAGGGATCTGGCCTCATAGGCTGGACCACACCCCGAAAGAAAGCAGCATCGGATGGGGTGGGACTCAGTGGAAATGAACTTGGGGAGAGGCCCTCAGGCTGCTCAGAAGAGGCCCAGCCTCAGATTCTGGGCGTGCTGTGTGCCACAGCTAACGGCTGGTGAGAGAGAAGGACAGAAGTCTGTCAGGACGCATCCTCGAATGAAAACAGTGTCCAGCATCCTGCCAGGAAGAAGGCAGCCCGGGCTGTCTCAGT